CCCTACCCCCTGTAATCAATAAAGTTCTCCTTTTTGACTGGTGTGGGAGACTTATTGAGGGGTGGGTCTAAATTATGCCTAAGAGACCCCTTAGGTCTGTGGACTAAGGGAGACTATACCTTTTTGCCCCCGGACTTGGGGAAGTACCCCAAGTGCCTGTGCTGGGTTGAGTACCCGTGGGACTTTAGGCCTGTGTTACCCCAAGGACACAGGGCCGCGAGACAGTCCATTCTTGGGGTGGTGGCGGCACGTTACCCCCAGACCAGCGAGTGTGCTCCGGGAGAGGGGTCGGCCGGACATAAGGTGGTCGGGGGCAGGGAGGTGGGTGGCTCAGCACAGGAGCACCCCCTACTGGCCCGCCTCACGTGGTGGAAACAGCGGAGGGGTATGAATACCCAGCTGTGTTCCTGAGGTGGGATCTCTGCACCCACCACAAGCTGCCCCCACCACCCACGGGGCCCCTGCCACGGCCCCCCTGCACCACCCCTGGGGGATGCTCCACGGGCACGTCCGGGCTGCCCCAGAGGCCCCAGCCTGACAGTTGGAGGAAAGAGGGTCACCAACACCTGCGAGGGGAAGGAGATTAGCAGGAATCAGGAAGGAGACCCCGAGCCGTGAAATGAACGGACCCCTGAGCCCTGCCTGAACAGAAATGCTGCCCCCCCCCCCCCGGCAGCTGGCTGCAAAGGGGGTGCGACTGTCCCTGGCCCTGGGCTGGAGCGGGGACAGGAGGGGGCTGGACCAGGACCCTCCAGGGCAGCGCACAAAGGCAGACACCGAGTCCGCGGCGCTCAGCCCCTGCGGGGGGGGGGGCACAGCGCGGGCAGGGGCTGCCCAGGCCTCACTGCTGCTTCCTCGCACAGGCCTGCGGCATGAAGGCCGCCCGGTGCAGTGCCCGCGGCAGCGCATCTGCATCCACCTGCTGCTCCCAGCCTGCCCCGTGTGCGGGGCCCCACGACAAGGGATGGCCCCTGGCAGGGGCAGACGCGGCCGCCCCGGGCCCACGGCTCCCCAGCGCTCTGCCTCCAGGGACAGCGGAAGTGCCTCTGGCTGGGGGGTCCCGGCTGGCCGGCCAGAGCAGGGGGGCTCCCCGAGCCAGGCACCATGCAGACTGGCAGGGAGCCGTACCCCCAGCCTGCCCGCTCTTGTCCCCGGCACCCATGCTCACCCGCGCCCCCGCCACGCCAGCATGCGCACACCCAGCGAGACACCCCGCCCTCCCCGAGCGGGGCCCGGGGCAGCTCGGAGCCGCGTCTGCCCTGCAGGGAAGGGGCTCAGCACGGTGCTCCCCCTCCCCCCTGTGGTGCCAGGCTGGGCTGGTACTGCAAGAACTTTTAACTGGTTTCTGTGGAGACTGGTTGCAATGGAGATACTTTACATTAAAAGTGATGCCCTCCCGAGGCTCTGCCTGCTGCTCTTGGCGGATCGGGATGGGCCGGGGGCACGTTTCATCCAGCCCTGCTCAGCGCCATCACCTCGAACTGCTGCGCCAGGCGGGCGGTTTTGTTTCCTGCCTCGGCCTGTCGCCAGTCCCCCCGCACCCAGGCTGTGGCACAACTGGTGACCCCCCCTCCCTAACCCGTCTCCCCGGCAGGGAGTGATCAGGCCCGGGTGACACCCCTGTCCGTCCATCACCGATGGCACTGCCCTGCTAATGCGGCAGGGGCCGCAAGCTGGTTTCTCCCCCTGCCCAGCCCCTCAGAGGGGCTGCAAGGTGGCAGAACCCCCTCCCGCTGCCCTTGCTTAGTGCACGGTCACTCCTGCCCCGGCTGGAGCCGCAGACCCCGCTGCATGGACCCGCGCCCCGGGGGAGGACGGGGGTAAGAGCCCATGGGACAGCAACCAGCCACGGAGCAGAAGGGTCTGACTGGGGTGGGGGCAGGACTGGGGGGCCCTGGCACAGCGATGCAGTTGAGCCAGGTCCGGTCTTACCTCGGCGGCTGGGCAGCGACCAGACAGACGCGGTCAGGCGCGAGCAGCAGAGCAGAGCAGAGCAGAGCAGAGCAGGGCAGGGCCATGTGAGTGGAGATGATTTATTTTCTTTCCACAACAAAGCAGCAGCAAATCAACCACGAGGTTTCCCCCGGGGGTGCGTGGAAGAGGGGGGATGAAACCAGCACCAGCTGCACCCCCAAAACAGGGTGCAGCTCCCAGTCTGCAGCAGCCCCACAATGCACTGCACTGGCACATAGTCACACGGGACCTCTTTGGATGTTCAGGAAGAGACAGGGTTGGTGGTGTCTGGGTGCCAGGTGGGCCCCGTGGGCAGCTCCCCTGCGCCTGCCCCACCCCCAGGAGGGCACGGGTTGGCCCTGGGGCCAGGGGCCACTCCAAGAGGCCGGCAGGCTGACATCCCCAACAGAGCCATTGCTCCCATCTTTATTGCCCCTGGGGGCGGCGAGTTGGGGGCAGGGAGCACATGCGGTGACGTTAGTGGCGTCTGATGGGGTGGGCTGCTGGCAGCCTTCACTAGATCTTGGTGACGGCCTCGTGGATGGAGCTGGCCACGTAGTCCAGGTTCTTGGTGGTGAGGCCGCACATGTTGATACGCCCGCTGGCCATCAGGTAGACGTGCTTCTCCTTGATCATGTAGTCCACCTGCTTAGCTGTGGGGGCAACCGCAGAGACGTCACGCCCCGAGCATGGGACCCCCCACCCCTCGGCGGTCATCACAAGCAATTCAGGGCTTTCAGCACAGGGGGAAGGGTCTTGGCACGCTGCTGGTGAACTGGTGCTCAGTGCTGCCCCCGCCCCACTCAGCACAACACACCGGCTACCGCATGGCAAGAGACCGACGCGGCTGCGCAGGGAGCTTGTGAAGTGCCCCAATGCAGGAGGAGAACAACAGGCAATGGAGGAACGGGCAGGTCACCAAGGACACGTACAGGAAACAGCAGGGACCTGCTGGGACAAAGATGAAGAACAAGCTGCGCCTGGCAGAGGTCAAAGACAACAAGAGGGTCTACAAGTCTGTTGGCCAGACAAGGACCAAGGAAGCTGCGGGCCCTCTGTTAACAAGCCAGGGGAAACTGTTCACCGAAGACGCAAGGAAGGCGGAGCTGCTCAACAGCTACTTTGCCTCAGTCTTCACAAAATAATGAAGCTAGGGCCCAACACCTAATAGAGACTATTAGGATAAGGAAGAGGGAAGCTGAGGGAGGAGATAACGAGAGAGATGGTCAGAGCGCTTCACTGGGGCTGCACGAGTTCAAGTCAGCAACGCCGAATGGGCTTCATCCCAGTCCTGCGGGAACTGGCAGAGATCTCAGAGCCCTTGGCAAGGATTTGCATGAAGTCGTGGGAGATGGGCCACGTACCAGAGGACCGGAAGAGGACTTGAGAGGATGAAGGGAATGGTGCTGGGGTGGATGAAGGGAATGATGTGGATATTGTGCATCTGACTTCAGCAAGGTCCCGTACAACCATCTCCAAAACAAACCAGAGAAGTGTGGGCTGGATAAAACTGCTCCGAGGTGGACAGACAACTAGCTCAACAGCCCCAAACAAAGGGTAATTATATTAACGAATCCATGTCAGAATGGCAGGAGGTTTCGAGTGGAGTCCCATGGGGGTCTGTCCTGGGCCTGGGCTGTCTAACGTGTTTATTAACGATTTGGATGCTGGCATAGGAAGCTTCTCCAGTAAGTTTGTGGATGACCTGAAACTGGGGAGGATTGTGAACATGCCTTTCAGAAGCATCCTAACAGACTGGGAAGCCAGGCTGGAGCCAACAGGATGCAGTTCAATGTGGACAAAGGCACGGTGATGCAGCTCAGGGGGGATAATCAAACATGCAAATACAAAACGGGGGGCCCTGGCTGGATGGCAGCTCTATGGAAGAGGACTTGGGAGTCTTGGTAGAGCAGACTCAACATGAGGCTGCCGTGTGATGCAGCCACACAAGGCCGATGGTGTGTGATGCATCGGTAGAAGCACCGTGGGCAAGACAGGGGAGGTGGTCAGGCCTCCCCTGGACACTGGGTGCAGTTCTGGGCTCCACATTTTAAAAAGCAGGTGGAGAAGCAAGAGAGGGTCCAGAGGCAGCAGCAAAGATGACCAAGGGCTTGGCTGGCAAGTCCCACAGGAGAGGCTGAAGGAGCGTTCAGCTTGAGGGGGGGGGGACACGAGAGCAGCCTGCAACTCCCTGAAGGGCTGCTGTAGAGAGGAGGGAGAGTCCCTGTTCTCTCCTGCTGCAGAGAGGAGGACGTGGGCCAATGCTCTGAGGTTGCAGCAAAGTGAGTTTAAATTGGAGATCGGTAAAAAACTTCATTACTGTCAGTCAGAGCAGGGAGGCAGTGCAAGATAGCAGGGGGGTTGTGAATGCTCCATCCCTGGAGGTGTTCAAGCACCGCACGGCAGCCACCGGTGGGGGATGATCTAGACGCAGCGATGCCTGGTTCCATCATGGGAACGTCCCAGGCTTCTGGGCTGTGCTGGCTGCCCCCTCCCTTTTTGTGCTCCATGTGTCAGGGGGGTTTTAAGCCTTCCTGGAGGCGCTGGGTGCTGCTACAGCCGAGGCTGGGGATGGGGACTGGGCTGTGCCAATACTCCCTGCTGGGAGAGAAGCCAGAAAATTCCTGGCTAGGAGGCCTTGCCACTCTGCTCAGGGTCAGAGCAATGTGAGATTTGGGGGGCAGGAAGCAAATTTTACCCCATGTTCAGATTGGGGGGG